ACCTGCTTTTTCCCCCCTTTCTCAGTGGGGCATGGGCTCTCTTCAGTCTCACAGGGCAAGAAATAGGGACACAATGTGCAGACATCTGCAGAAATATACCCCATGTAACAGCCAGTAAGCCTGAAAAATTCCCGAAGTTTTGTTTCTCTCAACAATTTCCAGTAGACTGAATCTGAACTGAGGAAAATGAAAGCAATAAAAGAGGAGTATCAGAAGAATTCTGAACAAGTTTCCTGATCAGTTTACGGAAGAGACAGATCTGCTAAAATGTTGGAATTTCATTATTGTATTGTCTTCAGTCACAGGAAGTCCAGAAACATGTGTCAGAGTTGAAAAGTGTGTGGAGCGAGATGCAAGTGTTGTTGAAAAAAACATGAAATGCAAGTGCAGAACAGGCAGCTGGAGATCCAGCTGGAAGCAGAGAGAAAGCAAAAGCAGCAGCTGGAAAACAAATGTCAGGTAAAGTGATAACAGCATGAAAAAGTGGCAAGACACCCATGGAAACATTTTTGTGCAAAATCTATGGGGTTGAAGTGGTGGTAGAAAGACTTTATGAACTCAGTCAAAAGACGCTGCCGTACAGTTTACTGTATCTGGTCCAGAAAGCACGAGTAACAACCTAACACATTCATTATATATCTGACTTTAGAGACAGAGAAGATTAATTTTGTTTTTAAAGACAGAACTCCAAGCTATTTACAATAAAGATCAGAAAGTCTGTTACATTGCAATTTTTTATTTGTGCCATAAAAAATTTTATAGAAATTAATGTTACTTTTTCTACTTAGAAACTGGAAAGAACAGTTAAAACATCTGAAGAAATACAAAAAGAAGCCAGAAAAGAAACTGAAGAAAGCCAGCATAGAGTCAGAACAGGTGACACTAGTTAGTGTTAGAATAATAATTAAAGTAACAAGACAGTATTTCAGCAGATGAACCAAGTAACCCTTTCAATATCAGATATAGGTCTCTGGGAAGGGTCAGGTGCATACTTGGCCTTTTCAACTAAGTGGCATTTATCATACTTCTTTTTTTAAAAAAAGGGTTTTATCTTTTCTGTGAGTCACTTCAGTTTAGTGGGGCTTGTAAGAAAAGCTTTTGTTCCCCCAGCCTATTATCAGGCTCAGGATAGCTGCGTTAACCAAATAAAGTATTGTCGCCAAACAAACTGCCCCCCCGAGCTGCTCTTGTGTCACTCTGTACGTGACATCATGGAAAACCACATTCCCCCCCACACACACACCCCCTAAGAAGCCATTTGTCCTTGCATCACCTCATCCTTGCACTACTGTACCACAATATCCAAATTATTATAGTTTGCATGGATTACTATAGTAGTTCAGGGTGAAAATCTAGGGGTCTAGATATTTTATAGGGTATTAACCAGCATAAAGTAAAATTTAAAAAGTAATAAAGGTGCCCCAGCTTGAGGTCTTACGTGCTGCTTATCAGTCCAAGAACTGTTCTGTGATTGGAGGATTTCCACAGCATTCTTCAGGCAACGTTAGTCTTCCCTCATCGTTCTCAGAAGTTTGTGGTCCTTGGCATGCATTTTCCCCCCTTCTTCCCAATGCCTCTGTATTTTATGCTGTGTTGAAGACCCAGGATATTCATTATCCCCCTAAGAGAGGGTCAACTTTGTAGTGAGGACCTCTCCAATCCATCCTTTCCCCAGCAATGGAAGAGGGCATCATGGAGAGGTCCCACCCCTATGTACTGGGGAAGAGCTCACACTGGAACACAGCATGCGTTAACTGTTCTCTCTGCAGATCTAATTACACTGTCTTGCCTAGCTCACAGCTAACCTCGCAGAAGCTCACCGTTGGGTCACGTTTAAGTCTAACAGCCTGCAGATAGAAGTCAAGAAAAACCACCAGCCAAAGAACCCTGAGGACAGCAGCTCCAAAAAGGAGGTAAGAAAGCAACCATGTTCACTTCAAAGGGGGAAGCAAAGAAAATAGGTGGGGGAGTAATTGGTAGCTCATTATCAGTCAGAATTTGAGTTTCCTAAACTTTCTTCCGTAGTTCCTTACACAGGGGTGGAAAACAGACCTCTCTAATAGTTTCATTTGTTTCCTCCTCTTTTGGCAAAGGACATATTTAAGCAGCAAAGAACGTTAAAGGTACATGATAGCTTCAAGGAACTGCTTCTGTGCTTAGAATTAAGTTCTACTACACATACATCATGTTTTGTTCATGCTCATTAACCAAATACTTCCCTGAAAGCTAACAGCTAGTATATTTTCTTTTCTGCATTCACCTCTGTTTCAGTGGTTCCTCCCCTCCTCCACAGCTTTTACAGATACCCTTTCAAGAGTCATGCTTACCTTGTTTGTGCAGATTCATCAGACTTCTCCATAATTGATACTTCTTATATGGCTGTGTAATTAGCTTTTAAGTTATGTATATGTTAAACTGCTAAAATTTTAGTCTCTTCTTCCATAACAAGAGTTCCAATAAAGAGTCATCAGCTTCATAAAATATTGTATCCTTTCCCAGGAGAAAAAGCAAGAGCAGCTTCTCACTCACACCTCCCTGGACAGCAGGGCTCAGGACCTGATGCCTCCAGCTGAGCACCAGGAAGGCCCCTGTGAGCTGGGCAGGAAATGAGCTCACTTGGCTGGGTGACACCTGGCCCAGGGAGAGCATCACCTGCCACCATGAGACTCCCTGCTGGCACCCAGGTGCTCCAAGAATACTTGAGCTTTACCTGATCTGGTGTAGTTAAGATAGGTCTGTATCACTGAGGCAGCCTCACAAATAAGAGGGACTCACAGGGGACCTAGGAATGCTTGTTTAAAACACAAACTGTTTTGAATTAACTCATATGTCTCACCTTGTCTTTTTGACTCAGGTGCTTTGCATTGCAAAGCTGATACTACTATTTACAGCAAAACAGTTACTCGTTATTTATCATTACTGTAAACTGTATGCTGTTGATAGGCTACATCTTTGCTTTCGTCACTTTTTGTTTTACCAGCTTTAGACTAAGGCCTGGCAGGTGCTATCAAAACAAATCTCAGACTGAGAATTCACGATCAGATGAATGACTGAAGACTGAGTCATGTGTCTGTGGCTGCATGCTGACGTGACTGGGACAGGAGGAACTGGCAGGACTGGCTGCTTTTAATGGTAGATGATACCTGGGTCATGAGAGAACATAAGCCCTGGGATATTTTGGGAGCATATAAGGAATTCATTAGGTGCGTGATGTTATAACACACATCATCTTACCTTCATAAGAATTAGTGGAATTTGTTCAATCTATCCTACTGTGGAACAACACACTGGGGGAAGAATAGTTGGCGCAGATGACTTACATCATAGTATGTTGAAGATGATTACAACATGGACAGTTTTCATGCTTGTTCCATTAAGGATCAGCTCGTCTTTTGTCATGACTTACTCTTCCACGTGGTTTCAATACAACCTAGCCTCAGTACAGGTGCTGTTGCACTCTGATCTGCTTCAACAGAGCTGTTTGCTCTGGGATCAATAGTACTATTTATTTCTGTGAGATCTATACACATTATTTGCAATCGGGGCGGGGGGGGCAGAAGTCTTGCATACCTCTGGAGCCTAGGAATAGCCCAAGAACACACTGGAATTAGTTCATTCTGTTCTTCCAGAAATTTGGTCCTAAACTATAACTTGTGTGATAAGACTCTGGACAAATTCATGGTGACCTGAGCCTCTCCTTCCTGAAGCAAATACTTGTTCTAAGGAACAAGGTGTGGCTGAGCACACCATTACAGCTAATGCAGCTCTGAGCTTCATTCAGTTGTGCTGCTTAAAAGCAGGCCTATGCAATATGGCTTTAGGTTTGTCCCAGTCAAGCTGGTTCCTTCAGAAATCAACTGGCATCTACACCACACCTGCTCTGTAAAGCTGCTTAGGTGGCTTAGCATCAGCTGCGCCTCTCTACCTCCACAGTGCCCTCAGACAAACAGCAGACAAAACTGTAGTCTAGTTTTGCTTGCTGTGAACTCAAACTGTGATCACAGCTGAAAAGTCTTCTCAAGTAGCACTTACCATTTAACACTCTTGTCTATACCGAATGCTTAAGTAGGTTGCCTAACATAGGACAAATGATCCTGACCTTTGCCTGTAAAAAAGGACAAAGCACAGGCAGCTGCGTTTGTATGAACTGCACGTTGGCAGGGCAACAGCACCAACCACCCCTCAGCTTTCCCTCTGTGGGAGTTTTTTTACCAACATATGGTGTGCCTCAAGGGCTGGTTCTTCACCCCTTCCTTGTTCCAGAGTGCCCTGCTCAGCCTAGGACCGTGCATCTGCACTTACCCTGTACACTGAGGTGCAATGTCTGATTATATGCTGTGCCCATTAAACTTGGTACTAACATTTGCATAGTGACAGTCTATTCCATGTTCACCACATCCTGTTGCTGTTTCTAAACCTGTTTGGGGTTTAGGGTGCAAAGCCATAAGATATTTGTAATTGTGAAGGATTATTGTATCCCAGTACCTTTTAACTTTAGCACTACCTTATGTTTTGGCTATACCTGCTTTAGCAAGTGATGCAGATCAGTGGGTCACATGAGAGCTGCTCCAGATGTCTGGGAAATTTTTGGGATTGGTTTTTACTCCAGATCTGTTCTAGTCCAAACCTGCTGACTTGAATGCTCACTAGCAACTGAAGCACTTCCAGAAGCCATCTTCTAACTTGCTTTCCTTTGAAAAGAAACTAGTTTCTCTGCTCAGAGCCTGCTCTGCAATGTGAACCACCGCATGGTAAGTGGCAGCTCACCCATTCAAAACATCAGAAGTACACAAGACAAGAACTTACTTTCTTTAAACATAGTAATTTCAATAAAGTTGTAGCAGCCTAACACCGCTGCCACCTGCAGGATCAGTAATTGAGATCTACACTGCTAGCCTTTCCGCATGCTTGGTGGCTGCTAACTCTTAGTTAGTTACAGTAATATTTGTAGTATTTAAAAATGAATTTTCTAAGCAGCAAAAAGGTTGAGGTTTTATTACCTTTTCAATCTGTGGCCTTCGTCAAATGTAGACGGCAAACTTCTTTCTACACTTGCTAATGCTGGTATCAGGTAAGCACAACTGAAAAGGTATGATTCTGGTTTTACGACAATCAGTAGATGCTTTTATGAGCAGTCTTTTAAGTATGCCTTGGGTTAGTGTTTGTTTTATATAAAATAGTTCTTTAGCAATAAACAGTTGACAAAATTATCATGGTTAAACCAAGTAGTTTGACAATATATGTAGTGTGGTTGACCAAACTGTTACTAATTCTTTTAATGAGGCTTGAGGAATATTCCCAACATGCTGACAGGTGAGGCTGGCATTGATTTAAGTATTCTTTCCCTCTTTGTCACTTGTTCCCAGTGACTTATGAAAGCCTTCCCAAAATTATAATGGCTGGATTTCAAGCTTTTCCTGCCTTGCTGTTTGTTCCCACACATTCAAGATCATATTAGACAGGGCTCTGAGCAATCAAATCTAGTTGATGTCCCTGCTCATTTTGGGGGTGGGGTGGTCTGGGTGACTAGATGACCTTTGAAGGTCCCTTCCAACTCAAACCATTCTATGATTTTACATTTCAGTAAAATAGTCCTTACCGTGAAGGAGAATTAGGAGACATGTTGGGTTCATCTCCCCCAGTGTTAATGTTCTTGTGAGCCAGGTAAGCCTAAACGTGAATACAGCGCATGCCAAAATAAATCCCACACAGATGCTCATACCCCCCAAAATATTTGTGTTTCAAACTTGCAATCCCTTGTGTATCCCCCATCCCTTACATAAAGTACAGTGGTGAATGTGCAGCACATGTTCACAACTTCACTGCCTGGAAAAAAAGGCACTGTATTAGCAGCACTGCGAGTGAAACGTGGTTTAAAACTTACCCCACCCTGTACTGGACAGTACAGCTCTGGCTATATACTTAAAGCCTAGATCAGCATATGTATTTTCTGTACACATCTCATGTTCTGGGCTTTCTCTTAAGCAGATCAGTTCACATGAGCCTGTTCAAACGTTTGATTGGGGAGCTCACATTTGTATAGCATGTTTTGTCTCTGGCTTTGTCTGAAGTCTTGTCTCATCTAATCTGTTACCACTGCACCACATCACAACAGAACATACCTGTAATGTTGTATAAAAGCAAAATCACAGAATGGTTAGGTTTGGAAGGGATATTAAAGACCATGTAGTTTCCACCACCCTGCCATGGGTTCCACTAAACCAAGTTGCTCAAAGGCCCATCCAATCTGGTCTTGAACACTGCCAGGAATCTTCATAAAAGATCGTTTATCTCGTAACCATAAATGCAAGTTGGATACAGCTAAGTTCTATCTTCAAATATAGCTTTTTCCACAAATACTGAGAAAGCTTTAGATCACTGGCATTGAGACTAGTATCTCTTCCTTCCAGATGCTCAAAATTGCTTAGAACATGCTTCTAGAACACTATTTGCTAGCAGTATGAATTTTCCAGTCCGTATTGACTGGGTTTAATTAGACGCAAGTTTCTGTTATTTGGTGCTTAAAAACAATTTAGAAAGCACTTTAAAAATAATCAGAATTCAGATCGTATTTTTCCTTTTTATTTGTATGAATGCTAAAGATTTCTACCTCCTAGGTTTAAAAACTAAACTACTTCAGAATTCTAACAATATTAAGGATCAGAAATAAAGTAATTAATAGTAATGCCTTGATGTTGGTCAATTTTTAAGACAATTCTTAAAAAAACCCACAATCTTTCTCTGTGTCAAGTCTATTTTTAAAAATGTACAAGCACTAGGACTCTGAGTATTTTAGACAGTTTTGGAAAAGAATAATGTAAAGGGAATCAGTGTACTGGACTTCTGCCTTCTGTTTTCTAAGCATTATCTCAGTGCTGAGGGCTGTATTTCCTGAGACATGAGAAACTTTTTTCATATGAAGGGACAGGAGTCATTTGCTGCAAGAAGAAAAAAAATCAGTGATGTGAAAAGGCCAATAAAGAATAAGGAAAGCTTCAATGGAATAATTTTTACCCCATAATAATGCAACAATGCTATGCTTGTACATAGGCTGTAAGTCAGTTCCAGCTCACACAGCAAACTGTTTGCTATCCTGTCAGAAACAGCAATGCGGTATCACAAAGAATGAGAAATAATATGGAGGTAAGGGAGTCATCCTCTCCCTTCTTCTGCAGCTTATAGTTATTTAATTTATAGTTCTGCAAACTTGGCACGGGACTTGTATTTAGTCAGTGCTGCCAAGTGCTATTTCCAAGAAAAACATTCCGTCCTCTTGTGGGTCAGTCAGACTTTCTTGGTATTTGCTTCTTACTTTTATATTCTTCTCACTATTGGCCCAGCCCAACCCTGGCGAAGTGGACATGCAATTTATTGTAATTTAATGTTTGATTTGAGATAAAATTCTTACCTTTAAAATTAGTCTAGGCAACTCCACCAGACTTGTTTCTTAATCACTGATTGCAATTATGTGAAATGATTACAGAACACAAACACATATAAAAGTGGGCTGAAAGCAAACAGCAGTAGTTAGCTGTGATACCATAAGTAACAAGAGTGCTTGGGAGGCAACAGCACGGTTTTGTTTTCTATTCAGCAAGCTACCTTGCTAAAAAATATTTTTCAGCCTTACTACTTTGCTGTAGTGCATAACATATCCATTTCTATATACACATATAACCATATACTCCTTTATGATAAAGCATTGCATCCTGCTTCTCTTGCTGGGTTGGAAGCAGCATGCTTGCACCATCATATACTACCATTCAACTGTCAGAAATAATTACAAACCCCGACTATTTGCAATGTATGTTAAATAATAAGCTGTATGATGTTATATTGTATTTTTCTGTAAGCTATTCAGCAAGATTGCTGAGAATGAGTAAACATTATCATTATCCTAAGCATTTTTATTAACAAGTTCAGAAGAACAACAAAGGTCACACTGATTTCAGTAAAACAGAAAACAATTTCCTTCAAATAGAAGAGCTGCCAGGAATATGAACTCATAGAAAATTCTGAATACTTTAAAGATCTTAAAATACTGAGTCCTCCATCCTCTAGGGATTAGTATGAGGCCATTTCTTCTATATTATAGTAATTTACTGCTGCACATTAAAAAACCCTCATCACCAGTAAATATGGCTTCTTGAGCAACCTGGTAACTCGTTGTAATATTGCACATTGTAAATTTTCCCTAAAAAAAAAACCCAACTAACAAACCACACCAGGCTTCAGTTTTCACTGTTTGATTCTATATACAAGACTGAGTATCAGATTACAGAGCAATGCATCTAAGAAGAAAAGCTAGTAACAGACACACTTGAGCATGTCAGCGTTGTGCCCAGACCACAGTCGTACATAAGTTGTACATAAAACCAGTTTCCCCAGCACTGCATAATGCAAGGGTTAATACAGAGAGTATCAGTTCCACCTTGCCACAAACCTCATCATACAACTGCGTAGGTATACAACATCTTTTGAGCCATTCTAGTATTTCCACTGCTCTGATAAATAAGCGACAAGTTAAAGGCAGTATCTCTTCTCAAGTCTGTCTGATCAGTTTCTATTCCCTGTAAAAATAATGATAAAAAGAGTTATCTATATGCAAAAATAGGATAAAACTTGAAACATGAGTAACAATTACAGTGGAATCAAATCACATATTCATGGTTTATATAGACTTTCAGCTGTATAGAAACAAAAGAAGTAGTATTCTTTGTGCCCTTCCTCTTTTAATGACTTTCCACATGTTGTTAATCACCAAAGAGTTTTATAATTATATACTCAAACCATTAGCTGGAAATTAGATAGCCAGCTCATGAAACAGAGAAGTACTATCTTAATTTGGTTTTGTCTGCAAAGTATTTGTTTCTACAATCAGAAAGTGAATCCCATGCGTATCTTTTACCTGGTCACAAGATTGCTGCTTTGAACTCCCAGCACTAACACCCATGTTTCTTACTTTACCAACCCTTACTATTTTCGAAATACACTTGTAATTTTTCTACCTGCCCATGCCAAAGCTAGGCAAAAAACTTCCTCTCAGACCAGACTTGTAAATGTATGACACTTCAATTACGATGATCTAATACAGATCAATTAGAGTAAAACCATGGCTCACATGCATTTAGGCATTCTTAATACTAGTTCATCTTGCTGCATGCTGTTTGATAGCATGGGTGAGTATATAGCACTTCCAGATATAATTTTTTGCACGTAATATGTATAAAGTTCAGATATTTATTCAGGTAAAGTTGTTTAGCAACCATTTTTGCTGCTACTTCAGCCTATTAGTAAATTCTTCAAAGTTCATACACCTTTAAAATTAACACATGCTTGAACATGTCACCAAGTGACAACTGGATTTGGGCTTCCAATGACAAGGAATTACAATGCAAATTAAAGGAAACTCAGCTACACAGATGTTATGTACCTATTTTAACTATGGTTGAGAAATTATTAACATTGACCCGACTTTATCCTCTGTATGTAACTTACAAAGATACAGTACCTCTAAGGCGAGAGGAGGAAGTTCAAGTACTTTTTGGTAATAGTGGATTGCCAGGTGCAGTAATCCCAGCTGGTGAAGGCCACGACCAAGGTTGTAGAAAGACTCCTGACATGGTCCACGCAGGTCCAAGTACCGGTGAAGGAAGGAGAATCCCTGCACACATATTATGCACATTAATGAATCTTCCCTTTCAAAAGATGGCAGGAAAATATGCTGGAGAACAGGTGTTTCAATGTGTCTGATTAAACTTTTGATCTATGCTTCCCCACAAAACCACATGCCAGTTGAAGGCAAAACATCACTCACATTTGATTGCTGAGACCATAAAAACTGTGCTCTGTCAGTCTCATTGCCATTGAGAAAAATGGGCAGATATTTTAATAAATGGAACACACAGTTATTTAATATAATGACTTATGGCATTAGCTTCCTAAATGTATATGTATACAGTATGTATGTATATGTTTATGCAATATACACACAGAAAAGACTGGTTCAAGTTCGGAAGAACTGACTAAACAGACTACCTTTAAAAACATGCAGTCAAAGGACTACAGCAAGATCTTATTTTTCTTTAAAAAAAATCTTTAAAAGATAATGTTCAACAACTTTTTTTTTCATTAAAGGGAAAAAAAAACAACCAACCCTTCATTCCCTTTCCTTCACTCTTTGCCTTGAATAGCAACAAGAAATTGTTTAATTTTACAGCTTTTCAGAATTCTACAAAATTCTGAACTCCATAAAGTACATATCAAAGTATTATTTCTGGGATGCAAGCATATTTTTTTTCTTGATCTTGTGCTCCATATAAATGTTTATTCCAATACTAGTTATCAGGGAAATTATCAGTATAGCATTTTATAAAGCAGACAAAAATAAACATCACTGAATAACAGCATGAAAAATCCATATACCCTAAAGCAGTAGGCAGGAGTTCACATCCCCTCTTGAAGCCAGCAGATGTTTTACTGCCAAGTTTCCAGCTGAATTCGAAAGAAAACTCATACCCAGCAATTCCAGTTCTATGCTTTAACAAATTTAAAGTTGAAGCACTCTGTGTTATACTTTCTTATTTTCCTTTTAAAACTGAAATAGATGCTTATGTATTTAAACTATATGACTAGCAGAATCGCAGGTGTCCATAATTGTGTTGCCAACCTTAGTGTGAACACCTGCTCCTCTCCTATGTGGCAGGTTGTGGCTCAGACAGGGAAGCAGGACCCAACAGGTACTAGAGGCCCATTCAGGTGCTGATGTCCCAGATGTAACACAGGGCAATGCATGAAGTGACAGTGACCAGGCACTGCTGGAACAAACCAGTCTCGTTTATACACTGACATGCTGTAGAGCGAGAGAAGTGATTTGTTTCTCATCTGTAGGATGTCACTGCCTACCAGCTTAGCATGTTATGGACTCTTCATGACTCAAGGTTTGTACAATGCTATAAAGAGGAATGGCATTAGACCAGAGCTACCTCCCACACAGAACAAAGCAAAAGACAAAGATGCATACAGTATTATTTTACATTAAAATGCAGTGTTTCATTTGACACTGAAGGAGCTCTGGGAGAAACTCAGGAGGGACAGAAAGAAGAGGTGAATTCAGAAGGGAGAAATCGAGCACACAACTTTTTTATTCTCTCAAGTGAATTTAATTTTGTTACCACTTTGGAATGTGATGACTCTGTTGTAAATAGAGAACATTCTTTCTAGCGACCATGTTGGTAAACAGAGAAGATACCTCCTTCAACATGAGGAATAAGTTCAGACACAAGCATCTATCATAGTTTTAGGTCACCAGTACATCACTGTGGTCGAATTATTGATCAGCAACAATAGGAGCAGGAGAGGATGTAAAAATACCAAGTATAGTAAGCAAGAAATGAGAAGAGAGAAAGCATGGAACAGTATCACCAGAGACTAACATAAATAGGACACTGTTCAAGTACATTATAAAAGGATAACACAGCAGCACACAAAAGGCAGGCAGGCTGATTACAGAAAGGATAAAAACATTAAAATTAGGCCAAAGTTTGCAAGTTCAAAATGTCTTAAGTTGGACACTGACATAACTGGTCTTGTTTTTGAGTAACTGAGGACCTATAGCTTTTGTCAAAATCAGTGGAAGCTACAGTTTTTCAGCAGTTTCAGAAGTCAGGAGAGCTCAGGATCCTCACCATATTCTGCTGACTTTGAGCTCAGTGGCCACAGGAACTAAAAGGCATTTCAAGTTAATGAAAATACTTGGTGGAGAGTAGAGGAAATTACTTTCAAGGTTGTTTGGAAATAATCAGTCTGTGGTTTGTAACTGGATCTCGCAGATGAAATAAAAATGTAAATAAGGAAGCTGAAAAATTGAGGATAGCCTGAACTGGAGTTCACACGATCTTCACAAAGAGAGAGCTATAAGAGGCACCTAAAAGGGTAAAGAGAGAAGGAAGACAGGGAAGAAAACCTACCAAATCTGTAAAGTTTGCTTGAACATTTTTATGCAGTTTATGAGACATGTCTAAGAAGGGCATGTGGCCTAGATTCTACTCTACAGCACTTCTTCTGAGCAAGACAGGGCAAAAAGAAAAATTTGGAAGACAATCCAGACTACAGCCACCAAGACTGAAATTTGTAATATTTTCACAAACAGCTGGCAGCTGCTAAAATCTATATGCGTAATCATTGTATACACACAGCAGAGCAAGCTACATTTAACTAAAAGGAGAGAAGATTCAGATGGGGATAACCATAGTTCAAAAGCATACTCATCTATGTTCACGTTTTGCCACTTCCCTCTCCTGAAAAGCCATATTAATTATGAAAAGTTATTTAAACTGGGTATGTTGTAGCCATAACTGACTGCAAGATACAAAGCCAGGAAACACTATAGGTAAAAACAGTCACACTAACTTACCTGTACTAGAAGAGCATGCCTTTTCAACACATATTTCTGAGAAGCCATGTGGATGAAAGTCAAGCCAATACAAAGACTGTACAGAGGTTCATCTGGGTTTGAACGAAAAGCTTGCACATACTGTCCTAAAAGCAAATAATGGAATCGATATGTTTGTTGTAAAAAGCTTTTCTTAAGAATTTAAGGGCAAAAAAGGAAAATCTTCAAATTAGAAGTGTGAACTAAGAAAAGAAATAGTTTAATATAACTACATCAAAATACACAGGAAAAAAACTGAAAGAAAAAATCCTACTTTCAGCACTCCTTGGACTCTGAAGGAAGAATGCAGACTGTGACATAAAAACACAGCAGAAAACAACCAGACATAGAAGGCAAACATGGCCCTTGCTGAGATTTATATTCTGGAGGCCACACATCTTAAGTGTGACATTTGGAGGGCTTGACTGAAAGCAGCATGTTTACTTCAAAGGTCTGCTTAAAACATCCAACCAACTTTATTTGCTGTTTAAAACGGTCTTTTTCTGTCCTTCTTATTCTTTATTAACATTAGCCTTCAATTATCTTTGCAAGTTAGTTATTTCTGCAATGTGTGCTAAACTTGAAGAGTGCCAGCTTAATTTTTATTAGCAAAACTCTTTAGTGAGGCTTTGATTTGTGTACAAAATAATAAAAGCACCAGACTAACACTGTGAAGCTATCTGTAATTTTCTGATGTACAAAAAAAAATGACTTTAATAAATCTTTCTCAGAAAAAAAATCCCTTGTAATATTTGTTAATATTAGAACATTAATGATATTACCAAGAGCATGCTTGAAACTGCCAGATACAAACGCATTATGCCCATTTAGGACACACAATGCGTGATTATCAGGGTTTTTCAGCATTAAGCGGAGACAAAAGCGATGGTGACGAACATCCTGAGACTGCATAGTCACTTGATTGAATATGTTCCATAACTGAGGTTTACTGACATTTTCCATTACCATAATTCTGTAGAATGAAAAGTATACAAGAAATTAGGAGATACTATATAGTAAATACTGTGTCTGCAATAAACTCAACAGTTTAGGGAAGATAACAGGGAAGAGACATTCAAAGAGCAGGTCAGTGACTGAGGCAAAGCTGAGAGTGAAAGACAGAACGTGTCGTTCTGACCAAATCAACCAACCTCCTGCATTATGCATTTTTTTGAATCAGAGGCCATCAGAAAGCTCCTTTAGTTTCAATAGCCTTATCTGTTTTAGCAAAAGCTGGAAAGCATCAGCCTGCCTTCTTTAGCAGTATTTTCAGCAGTATGACTCCAGCCTCAGTGGAAGCCGTTACAGAAGAGATTGCTCTACCTTCTCACTACTCACCTGATATAGTTGTACGCTTTCCTGAAGTTCTTGTCCAGAATTGCAGCAGAGAGCCCAAAGTATTCCAGCTCCTTGCGCTTTTGTCTATCGTCATAAAACGAATAATATTCCAGTGAGGAATCCACTAGTAGCTCTGCCTCCTTGTACCGGGAGAGGTCACACAAGGAATATATAGCCTTTAGGAGGAGGTTCCACCAGTCATCTTTTGTCAGAACACTCGTGAGAACAGCAAAAATTGCTAAAAATATTGAAGTCAGTAAGTTGAGAAAATTAAGAAAGCTAAACTCTTAAAAAAGGTGCATACATCAAACATCTTTTCAAAAATATTCTCAGCATTAACAAGTAAAATAAAGATATTTCCTCTTTTCAGTTGAAGTTAGGTTTGTAAAACACCAGCAAAAAAAGTCAAAACTTGGGAACAAACGTCAAGAAATACACACAGTTCCAGTTGTAAACATACTACGCAAATGCGTTAGTTACTCTTCCTAATCTACTAAATGGTGCTTGAGAATGTGTAATCTGGCTCAGCTGAGTCTGGACCAGGTAAAAATTCACACCACTTTTAAAGCACGCATTTCTATTGTGTTCTAGATTTGTGTGTATTATATTTGCACTGAGGAGAATGTTGGACCACATGATCTCTAGGGGTCCTTCTCAATCTGAATTATTCTACAACTTTACTAGCTTTCTCTGAATGGGGATTGTTCCCTTAAATTATATTATCTTCATTTTTGCTGCCTTCTTTGCCCTAGAAATAAAGCAATGTTAACATGAACTGCATAGGTTTAGCATGCAAAATAGTAACGTTTATTTCATTTTTCAGAGCTAAGTTCATCTCTTTGCTTTGTTTTTAATAAACATTTGTTACCTTTCGCATCGCAATTTGCTGTCTCTTGGTCGTCATTGTCAGAAATTTTATCCCTTGACACCTTAATAAGATAGAGGTGTCTCTCTCCAGATTTGGAACTAGATATCAAACACACCTGAGCTCTGCTCATTGCTACCTAGAAACAAATTTAAGGGCAGCATTTCAGGTTACACTAATACATCCTATGACAAAGGCAACTTTATGGCCAATCCATCTTGCTCACATTGAACATCAAAACAGACTGCAACTTAGAAATCCACAACAGAGCAAGATCATGAGAGAAAACATTCCCAGAAGGAGTACTATCTCTACATTATCTCGTACTCCACTACAAACTGGGCTATGCAAAAGAAATATACAAACTCTTTAAATGGCTTAAAAGGCTTCTCCTGGGATTGGAACATCCCTGTATATATTGAAATCAAAACTCTTTTCATAGAGGCATGACAAGAACAATACCTTTCTGTACCAGTTTCAGAAATATGTGGATAGTCAGCTATTCAACCAGTGTAATACAATAGTAATGGATCTGACCAGATGGATAAAATCAAGGTCTAAATATTCCCTTCCTTCACTCCCTATTTAAAAATCAAACAAAAAACAATTTACACAAAACCATTACCACTGAATTTACTGGCTAAACAGATTCTTCTGTGGTAAATTTATCACAAGACAATATTTTTTAAAAATTTAAGAAATTCAAAATAAAACTGTTGAAATAGAAGTCATTATCAACGCTTCAGGAAAGCACTATGCTGACTGCTAAAAAGGTGAGAAGCAGCTTTAGTATTCAGTGTGTTCTATGTACACTGAGAAACAGTGCATTGAAGTCACTGTATTAAGAATTATACACTCAAGTGGTCCTCTGTTCTGAACACTACAGACTGGAACTTCAGTATTATAGGCTCCCTGCAAGATTATTACCTAACAAAATTATGAAAGCAGTTGCACATAAAACCCATTAACATACCTCATGCGTTAGTTTGTCGCTTGTCTTAACCCAACTCATAGCTGTCCAATTTCTTAAAGTGTAGCTGGAAAGATTGGCTTACCTTCAACAGCATTGCCAGCATTGTCAGTAAAGTGTCTATGTAACCATACATTTTGCCTTGGGAATACAACAGTGTCGAACGATGGAGGAGTAGCTTTAATTCCTAGATAATATTGAACACGATTATTCAACCTCTTGTAGAGAGACTGATTTTCTAAACCAGACAATTTTGACTCAATACAGTACTAATAGGCTTGTAAAAGCTTCTAGAAAGCTCTGAGAATCTTAGCAGCAGAATTAAAGATCTCCCTAAATTGCCCTGCAATATTTACTGTTTCAAATTCTCCAATGTCAGAGAAATTCAGCACAACTCTTACCTATACTGAAGGTGCTGCTGGAAAGGGGATACAGAAACTTCTCTATGCCATTAGTTACAATCAGTAGAGGCCAACCCATGTAGCTCATAAGTAGCAACTGCTGATCAACTTGATGCAGTGATTGGCATCAAGACTGGTTCTCAGTGGCCAAGAGCTTGTACATCACACAGAAGTAATCAGGTGGGGAAATACTGATAAAATGGTCAGGGAGAAAGAGCCATGAGGACTCATCCCTGATACTCTGTAAAGAATCACTCGCTGTGCTCTGAAGGTTCATCATGCTGTACATAAGCAAGTCTCAATCCCTGGTCCTATATACTTGACATCTTTGACTGCTATCACAGCTGAGTATAATCCATTCTACGCTGGAGAGAGCGAACACTTTACCCACCTGCTGGGCAGCATTAGCATCCTGAGCTAGTGTATCCGGATCATACATTGGTTCCAGAGCCTCCAGAGCTTTTTCAGGTCGGCCCAGCTGCTGCTGAAGTGTTGAAAGTGAGATTCTTGCATCCAGATGCAATGGAGCAAGATCAACAACTTTGGCATAGCTCTCTGCGGCACGCTCCATGTGTCCCAAAGCCTTCAAGCACTCTAGAAACAACATAACACAATACACTCACATGGCAGAAGAAGATTTGCAAAATAGTTAACATACTTTTCAGATACTTTTCAGTTAAAACCATCCAAAACATGTATTATTAAGGTGAAAATATTCAGAAATATGTGCAGATACATCCACAGTTCCACTTAAAGCATCATAAATTGACACAGGATGGAACGCAGAATAGATGCTTTTTCACTTACATAAAAATAAAGTATTTTTAGCTGAAGTAAATTTCAATCTATATGAAGAACAAGAAAACACTCCATGACAGGGTTGTCATAATAAACTCCAATTATAGTTTTGCAAGCACCAATTATCATTCAACATATGAATCTAAAATTCCTGTGATCCTAGATAAAAGTGCCTGGAAATGCTCAGCATTGTATTATCATCTCTCAGTACCACGTGTTCAGGAGTCCCGCTTCTTCTCACCCGCATGCCGAAGCCAGACAACAGCCAAGTTGTATCGTTCTGAACAGACAAGAGAACTCAAGAGAGGCAGTGCTGAGTTGTATTCTCCAACATCCAGAAATGCCTCTGCGACGTCCAGATACAAGTCACCCATTTCTTCTGGATTTTGTTCCACCAGAGTTGTCAAAAGAGGCTTTAAAAAACCCACACAAAAAGCTAAAAGCACATAACCAACGAGAACATTTCTTTAAGGTATTGTTATTGGAAGCTCACATTTTTAGGTGATTATTTTTATTCTATTTGCATTCTGAACTACACTTCCTTTATTGAAATGTTAGTTTAAAAGTGAAAAATAAAGATCTGAATTTCAGAATTCCTGAAAAAGCCACATTTTACTATTCTAGACATTTCACATCCAGTGGGTGAAAGCGTCCATCAGTGAGAAGTGCTCTTTAAGAAAGATTTCGTAGGGCTTCAAAACAAAACAAAGAAGTGTTCCTTAGTGTTCAACAACTTTGCAATGCAGTCCCAGGCCTGTCATAGCACACAGGCTGTGATTTACCCTGCTTTAGTAATACTTCCACAGCAGGCATAATTTTTAAGTTCAGAAACAGTATTTCTGTTATTGCAAGTCTGCTAGGTTTCTCTCTTGGAGTGTAAGGGAAGCAAAAAGCATCTCCATGGCGCTCTCAACTATCTCAGTTATAGGAAGACAGGAACATTTACTTGCTTTGGTAATTTATTAGAACGTCCCCCAACTTCTCAGCTGGTTTCTACTTACATTGAGCGGCTCTAGGATGTTCAGGTGAACCAAACACACCATCAGCTTGACCGTGATGTCTATGGGAACACCCTCAGGAATGCAGCAGCTGACCTTCTCCACAGCTATGAGAAGATCAAGAATTTATTTCTGAACCCATAGGCTTTAACAAGCACTTCACAAGCTCCACATCCCTTCCAAGCCCCAAGTTCAGCTCCACTGAAGAAAATATATTCTCATCGACTCTAGCTAATGCTGGTGTAGGCCTGGCCTCTCCCCTTCTTTTATACCTTTCCTGATAATTGGAACAACTTCTTCCCACCATCTGATCCTAATAATTTCATGTGAAGTATCAAGTGCTGTCAGTCTGCACTGATTTCAACAGCAGGATCCCATGGGATGTGCTTAGAGCCTTCACCTTCTTAAGATGTGTTTGCTTCAGAAAGCTTTCCTTTAGCAATTTATGCACCTGTACTCTGTTTTTGCCTTTTGAAAGAAATACCCTGTAATAAGGTATTTGTTCTTATTAAGCTAAGTCCTGTGTACCAGGGATCTAGCTGTATACATTGTCAGACACAGTTAACTACAGAACTTTACACAACATGCAGACAGAATGCAATCTGATGAGAATGCAAACACAAGACAAAGCAGCTACCCATGACAATACTCGCAAACTAAAGGTCACACAGTAAAACTCCACTATCATATTTCCTTCACATGCAGTCATGACAATTTCTTAACTACCCTGTTTGAGTTCTCCTTCACTTTAATTCTTACATCAGGCATTCAAAGGGTGATTGTTATAACCTGAGAAAACTGTGATTTCTAACATAAGGCTTCCTTATTACATTCTACATCCAACTACTGCAAATCACAACATGCAGATTAGTTCATAATTCTCTGAACACCTTAATAGCCAGCATCAGAGTAAATATTCACCTACTGATAAATTCTTACAAAATTAAAAAATTTATTTTCAAAGTAGGTAAGCCCTGGGAGAATGCTTTTGGCTTTGGTGGTTGGCTGAGTTAAAATTAAATTCCGAGTACGGAAGACTGTATACAAGAAATGTTTTCTGGATGAAGCCTTATTTCTCTGCTGTTAGAAACCTTTCCCTATTTTTATATGATTGCAACCTGTTTCCTGAGCATATGATCAGTTCATAGACTTGCACAAAATTTAAAAATTAAATTACTTACGTGCAGCACTGGATTCAGCAACTGGATTACTTTGGTCATCAGTCACTGCCTCCTGGCTTTCCTGAGTTTCTACCGCTGCCCCTGTATCTTTTTAAAAATATGAGCAGAGTACTCTAGTAACACCAGCTAAGACAAAAGTTACTTGCTTTTGAATCCATGATCAATTGGTAGCTTACTCTGACAAGTGGACTTTTTTTTTTTTTTTTGAAGGACAGCAGAGCAAGAAGCAGTTAAAAACATATAAAGCAACAGATGGTGGGGAACCAAGCTCTTAAGTAGTTTAGGTCTTAAGAAACTGCAAGTTACCCCGGGTAACTTGGCAACACCATGTTATAATTCCTAGACTCGTTTTGCTTCTTATAAATTATCTATTAAAAGCCTCTACCAGGCCAGTTCTTCACTGATCACCTTATATTTACCTGGTCCATTAAAGCAAAAAGCCAACAGAAGCATCTTATACCTACATTGGGTTTGAACCAGATTGCTGAAACAACCAACTAGTTTAATCACAGAACAGACTGTCTGCTTATGGAGTTGGCATGCTGTGACCATTCTACAGCCCAAACATCTTCAGACTTAAGCAATGACTTTCACAAGGCAGGTTTCTCAAAGGCAACCTACTTTATTCAATTACAAGCTAATATCCCTAGATCTGTATATACCAAAATATTTAAATGTTTAATAAAAGTAGTAGAGTTTATGAAGACTATTAGTCTCAGGACAAAGGTTGAGATACTTGAGTATAGATGCTGCTAAGCTTATCTAATTTTTTTTTCAGAAGCTATTTAACTGGCAGAAATAACTGGTCTCTCAGAGGAATGTTCAGAACTTTAAAAGGGCTCCAGTTGCCTGGAGAGCAGTCCTTGTCCTTAATGAGTCAGCAGGGCTAACTGGACATCAGAGTAACTCCTTATAGAAAGGTGAGGTCAGGCCATGTAACTCATTAAAAACACAGAAAATTTTCCAAAGAGAAAAGCCTGTCAACATGCACGAAAATATACCCATGAGCTGAAAAGGTAACAGAAAGAAAGATGTCATATTAGACGAACAGCAGGGTCATATTTACCACTTGTTAGCTACTTACCTTTTTTATCCTTGGTTGGACTTTTTTCTGATACTTTCTTTTCAAGTACAATTCCTGCAAAATCTGTAATAACCTAAAACAGACAAGTAACTCAGGTCGTTTCAAAAATTTAAAGAATATATGGAGTAACAAGCCCGCATGGTAGTTGCTTTAGACATCACAAAAGTTATCAGAACAAAAGCTGCATTCATTTCACATGGGGTTAGTTGACTAATATTGAGTTTGATCAATTTATGTCTTTGTCACTATTTCTGGATGATCTAAGATAATCCAATCAGCATCTCTTTAGAAAATACAACAGTTACTATCACATCTAGGAAAGGTTTTAACCTTTATAGCTTCTTTTAATGCCTTTTGGAAGACTGAAAAAGAAAGCAAAATACTAGGTAAACAGCTAAGCTCTCCACAGATCTTTCCAAAGTGCTCCAAGAATTCCTGAGAATTGCAAGGAAACCATATGGTTTGTCTCAGTTAAAAAAAATAATTAAATAAAATTCACAGCTACATACAGACATTTTACAACAGCCCTGGTCATACACACCACGACTAGTGTGAAACTACTGTAATTCAATAAAACAACTAATTAAAAAAATTAGCAACCAAAGACAGACAATTCAAGACATTCACTGGCCAATGGGGAGCTGTGAGGGGGGAACTGCACAAGTGTAAAGGACCATTGGTCTAAGACCCAATGCAGTTTGGAATTTTATTAACGAATTTAAATGAGTGATAAACACGGAGTACATGGCCCTTGGAGGAGCATACCAGATGTCTGTATTAAGATAGTTATTTTTTTAAGGCTCAAGTTTACCAGCTACCCAGGAACAAGAAAGACCATCACAGGAACAGACCCAAGGAGAACCATCAAGAAGAAACAGGGGAACAGTTCTATGCCCGAGTACTGTATTAATAAATACGGAGCTAAATACTGTATACATAAAATTGACTGATTTTTTAAATGGGAAGAAGTACAGAGAACGGTCAGAGGAAACGTTTGCAGGCTCATGACACTTTGCACTGACAGTGAGCTATATTTAAAAAAAAAAGGAGATAATTTAATAACAGCAAATAAGAATGTTCACAAGGAGAAAGTCACAACTAATAGAGTCTCTTCAATCAATCTTAGAAAGTATTACAATGGCCAGATACTAAAGTCTTCCCTCTCAAAACCAGACCAAATAAACTTGGAAACATGCCTCAAAAGTGAGGCTTAAGAACAGCTTAGAACAAATTGGGAATGTATAAGTGATCTTCTCAAGTTCCTGATGCCTTAGAATCAAGATATATTGTCTTTCTGGAATGTATGCTTGATGCTTAATGCATAAATGATAAAGCACCAAGGTCTGCATTTGAACCATTAGACCATTCAGTGGCACCCTTTTAACCTTCAACTCAGAGAATGCCCTCTGCTGGCAATACTCACAAAACCTGCTCGTAGGTCTCTATTAAGATTAAGGCATGTAGAGAAGGAGGATCGCAAAATTTTAAACACAGAACAGCATACAAATCTAACTTATTAAATCAAGCCATTAACTACAAGGCTAATTACTACAGAAGTAACAGCAAGCAATGTGTAACTGATCAGTTCTATCACTATAGAAACATGACCATATTTAAGCACTACAGGAATACAAACTGTCCATCCTGACTGGCAAAGAGGTGCTGAACATGATACAGAAATGCATTTAATTCTCCATACCGCCAGTGCTTTGTCATACTGTTTGGAAGAAATATATAGTTCAGCTGCAATGTTAACATCTTCCATAGAGACAAGGCTCTGGTGTTTAGCAAAGGCTTCTTCTATTATCTCAATAGCAGAGGTCACATCATTGGCTTCATAGTAACTCCTATAAAACACAGATATGAGATACTGAGTATTTGAGATAAATACTTTGAACACTAGCAAAAGGATTTTCTATTTCTTTTATTTTTGCCTATTAGCAAATATTTTCATTAGCAAGAGTTAAGTTACAAAAGACAGTGAGAAAGGTGGTTTTTTTTTCTTTCCTTACAAGTGTTCATAGTTATGCATTTTAAATAATTACAATTTTTTTTCATCCCCATCATGTTAGGACATTACTGGAGTTTTTCATCACAATATCCTGTAACTTGAGGCAGGTATCAGTAATGTATCACATTGACTTCATTTCAGAAAAACCTTCAATAATAATACTGTTACAACGCATGTTCTTGTATTTTTTTGGTGCATTTTACAACCACGAAGATCAAAAGACTTACACTGTTTTGAAACAGGCCAATAACAGCTTTCTACAAGTTATGTATGAGAAAGCGGAGATATATAGTAGTTAACTTAATAAAAACTACGATAAGAGAGCTATACACTTTAATTACAAGCCTTCTCTGCCTTAGGCAAGCTTCTATGACTTGGTCTGCTCTCATTAGCAGAAAAGGGGACGAGTCAGATTTCTACTTGCTCCAGAAATTAATCAAAAATTACATATAAACTATATGTTGTTGCAGATGGTATGTATTTCAGATTGAACACTTTGTTTCATTCAGATTTTCTGGCAGTAAGTTTCCAGGTTTCTAGTGATATTATATAGATTAAAAATGTACTGCATTTGTATATAATTCTCTACTATTGGCATTTTTCTCAGTAATCAGTATTTGCACTTTATTGTCTCACAGCTAAGATGGTGACTGATCCTACGTGGAGTAACTCCCGCCGGTCAGGCTTTGGAAACATCACAATAGTTGGGGAATGAATGCCTGTGGGGGGGTCACCCCCAGCCAAAACACCAGCATTCCTTGATTTCATCTACATACCCAGCTTGAACCAGCTGTAGAGCTTAACAGTACCAGCTTTTGAGAAACCCTGGAAAACGAAATCACAGTATTTTAAAATACAACTTACTTTGCCATGTCTCTAGCCAACTGCATAAAGCGCTCTCCATCAGAGGGAGACAGGAGATTCAAAATACGCCTGTAGCCATCCATTGCCATCTTGTGTTCCCCCAGCTGTTCATACAGGCTTGATCTCTCCCACAGATAACGCACATTGGTTGGGTCATATTTCAGAGCTACAAGAAAAAGCCTATTAGTAACCTAGTTTAGGAAAAGGCAACAATGGATTTCACATTCATTTCCCTGACTAGGTGAATGTTAACAGACACGCACAAGGTTTTTGTAAGAGAGGGATAGCCTACATTAAAGATTCATTAATCTTTTACCAACGTCCAGACAAAGGTACCAGAATCTGAGCAAACTGCAGCAAACCAAATCAGAAATCATAAGAAAATAAAATTATTGCCATTAGCATCTCACATTTCTTTTAAACTACTACAATGGTTGCTACGGTACCTTTTGTGTAGCAAAAAACAGCCTGTTTAATGTTGTCCTGTTCCAGTGACATTTCTGCTAGTCTAACCCACTCCTCAGTATCACTAGGATTTAAGTGAGCTGCAATCAGTTCAAACTGTAACGACTTTTCCATGTCACCCTGGTCTTCATAGATCATGGCAAGAGTGGAAAACGGCTCATGAGCAAGAGGAGCTGTGAAAATACAAAAAGAATGATTTAGAACTATTGTTTTAAAACAAGTAACTTGCCTTCCTGCAAGCAACAGATATTGTATGAAACACCAACATTGCTCTGTTTAAATTCAGAAAAAACTTGCAGACAAGCTTCCAATTCCTTTTTAAAAATTATTAAACAGCCTAACTGAATCTAACAACAACCATTCATACAATTTTTGTACATTGTAAGTCAGGCTGATGTTTATACCTTGGTTCTACAAAAACAGTAAAAGCAAACTGTGTAAAACTAAGCAAAGGCTAGAGTGTTAGTTTCTTTTCATAAGCAAAACAATAAAGGAAATGCACTACATATTCTTAATTCCACACCAGTTATACAGTGACTTTCCTTGTATTGAGTCTTTTCATCATCAGTGAAGGCACACTGAAATTTTCTGATGCACATGGCACCCAACTTTAAAGCCAAAAAGTTTTACCATTCTAACATACCCTGTCGAATGATTTCCATGCACATTAGGATAGCCTCCTCACGTTCTCCTCGAGCAAATCTGATATTGGCCTCTCCCATCAGACCCCTCAAGGCACGAGGAAGTTTGCTGCGAGGTCTTTTCTCCTAAATGGAAATGGGATATTATTTCTACTGAAGATTCAGTTATGCTCGAATTCAGGAGACATCAGTCACACTTCTGCTTAACACAACCTAATAACAAGTTATTTAAGTAGCAGTGATATTAAAATGACTGACCAAAGTATTTGCTAATTTTGATAACTGACAGAGTAACTCTGACAGTCAATACAAACACAATCCAGACACTGGAAAAATTCACTTCGTTAGTTTTGAAAGTTTTCAAACAGTAATCTATGGTAATTTAAAAAAAAAAAAACAACAAAAAAACCAAACAAACAAAAAAAAAAACCAGGCAACACCAACATAAGCAGAAGTATCCTACACAGAATTATTTTCAGAGAAGTTTCTCAGCAAGTAGCTAAGAATCACACAAATTGGCGTTTATGCACAATGCTTCAGGAGATACAGGGAAAATATATGAAAGTTTAAATACTTGCTTTCATCATTTTCTTGGTCTCTCGATTAAGTACCATCTCCAACACAAAAACATCTCCAGCTGTGGGTTGCTCAGTAGTTTCTTCTTCCTCTTCTTCTTCTTCTTCTTCTTCTTCCTCTTCATCATCCTCCTCCTCCTCTTCATTTTCCCCAAGCATGGATGCAAAGACCCGATGAACAGATTTACTGACGCCATCTGAAGTTTCTCCTGGTTGAGAAAGAAGCAGAAAAGGTTTATGATATAATCAAGAGTACACGCTGCTTATCCAGACAAGTGCAGAGAAAACTGAATTCTTCATAATTAGTAGCCCTCTTGAAACAGCTATTCTACAAGAAAAAGGCCTGCAGAAATGCAGAAAAACTATTAACAACCTCTTTGGTTTTAAAACTGCGTTACTCATCACCAATGCTTAGTATACCTCAGCCTCTAACATTTTTTGGATATTTGAAATGAAAGCATGGAGGAACGCACAGAACAAAGCAACAGTTTATTCAACATTTTTCTCTATCCATACCAGAGAAGCATATTAAGCAATTTTCAAGCACTGAACTGGTTGGATGGAATAAATCTTTTCAGCTGAAGAGGCTAAGTGAGCAATTATACTAAACAATAATGCAGCAAACAATTTTTAGAAGTAATTTAAATCAAGATCTTGTAACCATTCTATTCATGACAATAAGTACCTTTTAACATGTGTAAATACAATATTCACATTTCTCCAGAAAAAGAAATACAAAATTCTTTAAAATAAATGATGCTATATATCCAAAATAAATATGCTTAAAGCATATAATTCTAAAAGTTTTCACATTTTTTTAATTACAACTTTTCATTACTAAGTTAACCTAGGGTTATAACTGCCTACAAGTCTGTATCTATACAAAATATCAAAATATGTAGTGTACAAAGGTTACAGATTTGACATCTGAATATTTGATAAAAGAATAACCACAGTATCAAGTTGGGACTGAAAAATAAATCTGTCCTGTATTGCCCATATACAAGAGGGAAATGGGTACTACACGTCAGTTTATGGTTGCTTTTTTGGTTATTTTTTTTTCTGACTTGGATATTAAGCACCTAAAAATCAAGACTCTTCTTCTCCCCCATCTAAAAAATAAAATTATTAATTTAATTTCCCTTTTGTTTCAGTCTTGGCTGCAAGAATCATCTGAAGATTGTAGCAGATTAGCTCTAAAGATTTGTGTATAAAAAGCGATTTTAACAACGACCACTTCTAACATTTTTCTTCTGAATAGCCTGATTCTAATAGCAACTCTTCAAATACTGATAAATATTATCGTGATTCCTTGATTCTGACTGCTCTTAAGGCTTCTGTGTACTCTGTAGTAAGAGCAGAAGTAACACACTCATACAAATCTATCAGGATATGTTTTTTCTTAGATCAAGATGATGTGTATGAAAAACCATGTAACAGACTGGATGGAATACAGAGCAGAAAAGAGCAGCTTGGAAGTATTTCAAAGACATCAGCAAGAAGAAGGGGTCAATAAGGAACCACAGAAAGAAGGGATCAATAAGGAACCACAGAAAGAAGGGATCAATAAGGAACCACAGATATCTGCTCCAGCCACACTTCCAGGGCTCATTTTCTGTCTTTCTAGGACGAGGTCTGGCTGTACTTTCAAAATCAAGGCACTTACTGACTGGGGCACCACATCGATTCCACACCCATGAGAGAATTTAAGGCCTATTTTTGAAATATAAGGAAAGAAAAAAAAAAAAAAAAAAACAACACAAACCATAGTGATGAGAATTTGCAGTGAAAGTAGCAATAGGAGTCTAAGAACCAACAGAGAGGGATCAAAAATCGCACTTCACCATCTCACAGCATTGGTGATCCCACAAGAATATGCCCTGACTGGTACATGGAGGATAGCTTCTGAAGAGAAGGTGTCTGAAAAAGACTGCAGCACTCTAAATCCCAAACTCAAATCCAGAACCTGAGGCACAGGATCAACAAGGACCGGTACAAACTAAAGAGAGAAGTGCTGCTCCTACCACTTCCTGCACATCCTTTCACTATGTAGGAACACCAAGGAAGTTCAACTTATTTTGCTAAGGCACCTAAGGCAACACTAGCATCCCAGTAACTGCACAAAGAAAGCCAGCCAGGGAATCTGTGGCTAGGAATATCCAGCAGAAAATAAGGAGAGAAATAAATGCAGGCACTTTAAACAGACCAAAGGATAACTGAGCAGGATAAAAAAAAACACGAAGAAAGAGAAGAAACCTCCGCTTTTTAGCTCTTATATTTCCCTTTGGATGACAATGGAAGAAAGCAACACTCACACAGTAGAATCAAATATCCTGAAACATTCAAGTCTCAGCAAAAGACAAGCAAAGAGATGAAGAGCAAAAAAGCCAAACCAAAACAGAAATAAGAGTTCTTGACATAAGTTAAAAACTTTTAATTATTTGTAACTTTAGAAAGAGTAAATAATTAAGACCATGTGGTTAAAAAGCCAGGAGGGAAAAATAGAGGTTTTTCCAGAAAATGATGTCAAATTGGCCAGATCCAGCCCCTTAAAAACACTGAACAAAGTTAAAACCCTGGCTACAACTTGGAACATTCTACAAAGATATACATTCTAACAATGTGCTTCAATACCCACAGGTTCAAAAGAAGCAGTCACATATTTATATAAAGTCAGCTATCAGAGAGCAAATGCTGTCAGTGACCTCTTAAATACATTTTTCACCGAAATTATGACATTAACATTTACCATCAGTTTCATCCTGACTTTGGGATTTGCCAGATGCTTTTCTGGATGAAGACGGAGCCTCTATATCCTCAGCATTTTCCTCAGCAGACGCATTTTCGCCATCCTACACACACCAACAATATTAGTTATCAGCTTTACAACATGACTCATTCCTATTTTCCCTAATATTGACAATTATAATTTAAACCACTGGTTTGCAGCTTTTGCACTGCTAGTGAAACAGGTAGAATAAGCGCTATATCAAACGAACAAACCCCAGCATTTCTTGCTTTCAAGACATTTATATTCTTATCAATGTGAGGTGACTCAGATGGTGACTGTTCACATTACTTTTGACTGAAGAGACTAGTCTGTTCCTTATTTGGCATTACAGTAAGGCAAGATGACACGGTTGACTATTGAAAAAAGTTACAAATGCGTGACAAATCCTTTTAGAAGCCTACTTTTTTGAACACAAAATGAAACAGCAAAATAACACTTGTTAATCCAGTAAGAAGGTTGCCCTAGGATATCGCTTGTCCTTCCATGACAGCTGAGTTCTACTAAATTTGCTCTCTAAAGACCAGGAAATACTGAAGCTCAGTTGCATTTTGACATAAAGATGGCAAAGTTAAAGTTAAGTAAGACACTCCAGTCAAGCAATCTCTCATAAAACTGATCTCAGACAGAAGATGGTGAGGGAGCAGTAGCAGTATACACTGGGTGATTTTATATCAAAACCTGCTTCTACTCACTGCTCCAGCTTAAAATTAATGATGGTGCCTGAAGGCAAGTGCCACTAGCTTTTGCCAAGTCCAGGGAAACAAGACACACTGCCGTGAACCAAAATGTTGCATTCTGCACTTCTGAAAGGTCTACACTGCCCTGAACACCTTGCTCTACCAGCACCTAATGACCCTTACAAATCGCAGGTAGTTTCTTACCCTTTTTGCCCAGACACAGTCAGCAGCTGGGCACAGCAGCACTTAACATAAGCCCCCCACACAAGAGGAGGCCTCGCTGCTCCCGCAGTGGGCCGCGCCCGGGCAGGTGCCGTCAAGAGGGACCGGCCGGGCCGGGGGTCTGTCAGGCCGGGCAGACTCACCTTCTCGCGGCTCTTGCGCTCCTCTCGCCGCCGCTCGAACTCCTCGAAGGAGATCTTCCCCTCCAGGTAATCGATCAGCTCCGGGCTGAAGCCCGACATCGCGCCGGCGCCACCCAGGCGCGGGAGCAGCCGCCGCCGCCGCCGGGGAACCTTGTTCAGGACAGGACGCGGGTCCCTCCCGTTATG